GGGGGGGGGTGTGGCGGGCACCACCTCCTTCGAAATTTTTGTTAACTATATTTCATATCTTCTTGTTTCCAACAACTGTATCATTTTCGATGTATTCAAACAGTGGTGGATCTCCCAGTTAGGGTACCCGGCGATCGCCACTCCCCTTAAGCATTTTTTTCAGTTTCCCCCAGCAGAAATGAAACAGAAAATAGTAGTTCTGCTTGATATAGACTTGAAAAACCGTTTTTTGGCCAGGAGCGCCACCCCTAACATATTTTCTGGATACCCCACCGGTCACTAATAGAAGGATTTTCTATTCGATTTCAGATTTATATATTTCAATTTGATATCACTATCTCTTTTAATTGATGTGAAAGGGTTCGTTCACGGCATGACTTTTTGAAAATCTTCGATATTACATAAAGTTGATGCCACTCAGTAAAACTCTTGACGAACTTGTGTTACACTATATTCTGTATTCTTTTTAATCTTTTACTATAGTTACATGCGAAGATGAATAACTGAGATAAAGATAATCAATATATTTCATTTTATTTTTAGTAATAATATGAATACAAATTATTCTTTTCAATAGCTAGTAATATCGATATCAGCCAGAACCATAACCATATACGCCAGGATAACCATATTGCACATAAAGACGACGACCGATGATATTATCACCATTGAAATCAATGAGTTGTTCATTCTAATCGGCTCATCTTACCTAAAACATAGAACGAAGCAAACATAAGTAAAAAATTAATGAAATATATTAGAAAATTATACCTTGCCCACCAATATATCCATCACCATTCAAATCCATACCAGCATTACGTTCAAGACGATTAACTTAAAAAGTCTGTTCAGAAAAATACTTTAAACAAATGAAAAATATTCAAAAACAAATATCTTACTCATTTTTCTTTTTGCAATTTAATTTTATACTTGTCGCTTGAGCAAATATCAATGTGTAATAAATTTGTATTAGTTTCAGCACAGTTTATCTAGTAGAGTGCATTGTCGCAGTCCTTAATTGACCTAATCGTGACTTATTTTGAATGGTGTAAATGAATTCATGCTTGATTCTTCTCGATAGAGCCGCAATACTTATTGATGCGGTAAATTGTGTCTAAATGTGTCATCAATGTAATAAATTGTCATAATTCAGTAAGGATTGAAATTTGAATCAATGTCATGAAACAAATGACTGTACTTGAATTACATTGACATGTAAGCTTTCCGGAGAAAAAACAGAATTTTTCATGATAATAAAAAAAATTATTATTACACATTTTAAACTTCAAAGGCTTCTTTAAAGTATGATATTACTATTCTCTTGACGAACATGAAATTATTCTAGTAGGACAAAATACATGATGCAACACGTGTGGACTTGCTGATTATCGTCAAAACAAAACATATGGTTAATATAAACAAAAATGACTGTTTAGACTGATTTGCCTATTTTATATAAGTAATGACGTCTTGCATCCGATAAAAGGAAGTCTAATTTTGACATCAATGCGAACGGCAGACAAAAGATAAATAATCCACATCAAATAAGATTTATGATACATTATCAAAAGTTTCACGTCTAAGATAATCTACGTATCTATAGAATCAGTGAGAGATTTTTAATTTTTAGTTATAAAATTTATGAAATCAGCTTAGATGATAGAATTTGCTGTAAAAATATAAAGTTTTAATGATTTTGCATGATTCATACGGTCAGACTTTGATCGATAATTTTTTGATATTTTACTTTGAATATAATTGCTTCTCCGTCTATCAATAGAATTTATTATAATATGTCATTGATTAAATATTGAATATATCATTTCAGACCCAGAACAATAATCAAATTGATGATGATGATAATATATATATATATATATACTGTCTATAAAATTTAAAATAACAACATAGAAATAAAGTCTATTTTGACGCTTTATTATTGAAGAATAATTATTTATTCATCAGTTAAATTCTAGTTGTTCCCAATATATAATATATCGGGACAGTGGCGGCGGAGTCATTGAGACAGGTGAGACTTGAGCCTCACCTAGATTTCAGATTGCAAATTGTTATTGTCTATTCTCAGGATTTGTTACGCTGAGCCAGTGGCGGCGAAGCCACTGAGACCCATGAGGCTTGAGCCTCACCTAGATTTCACAAGATGAGGTTCAGCCTCACTTACTTTTGTACTGAATATTGTTATTTTTTATTCGTGCATCAAAGCAGGAGCAAAAAAAGTCTTTTTTGGTATTTTCCAATCATCTTTTTTATACTGGCCATTTTTATTTTTACTGCAGTTCAATAAAAAGAAGACTTATTTTTTGCTTGATGTGTTCATAAAATTCCACGGTAGAAAAAAAAATATTATGAGCCTCACCTAGCTTAATGACGCTCCGCCGCCCCTGTATCGGGACCAACTAGAATTTAACTGATGAATAATGAATATATGATATATTCATTATTCATCAGTTAAATTCTAGTTGGTCCCGATATATTTATTATTTTCTTTTATATTTCAGTAATGAATTTATGCTAATCATTCCCGTTTTCTATTACCATTCGTAAATATATTCAATAATTAGTACAACTATAATAGAATTTTTCTTGCAAAACATCAGCTGAGTGAAATTCATTTTTATGAAAATCTATTTCAACTTAACGATATTAGACGAAGAGAAAAATTTTCGATATTAATTATTGAGAATAGAAAGATCATGATCACGCGGTATTAATTATTCTTTAAAAAAATATTTTCAGAAGTTAAATGTTTCTATTTTTAATCATGTCGAAATGAGTGTGTATTTTAAAAGAATTATTTAATAATTCATTGATGAGGACATGATTTTAAATGCGCAATATATATATAGTACATATTTGTTTTTGTTCAGTATTATTTAATTCAAAAGATTCGTATAGAAAATAAGATATTTGTTCTTCTAAACAAAAGACGTCAACGAGAGAGAAGCCGCTAAAATACTTGAGTAATAAATCATATAGCGGGAAATGAGAAGAAAAAACATATTTTTATGCCTATCATGAAAGAAACAAGCAGCGCTTTTTTTAAACCATTTAACTAATTATTATTAATTGCATTTTTAACATGGAAATATTTCATGGTTTTTTTGTGATCGACACTATTTGAAAGTAGTTTCCGATAGCACTCAAAAAAGAAAATGTTTGTTTTTTGATTTTTTCCTCTCTAATTAGTATATTATGTATTGAGTTGACTTTAGTATTTAATATCTCAATAGGCCAAATATAAAAAAAAATATTGACATGAAAAAGAAATAATTATAAAGCAGACACACCTAGATCCCGTATAGTCTCAGTATGAACTATTCTGTAGCATATACATGTGAATGGCTTGCTTAATAATAGATGTATACAGAAAATAAAACCTTTTTGAATATTTCTTTAGCATTCACTCATGACCTAGAGAAACTTATTTGAAAAAAATCAACGAACATACTTATTAAACATATAGGCAATTGATTTTTCTTTTACATTCACATAGGGGTAAATATAAACCAATACCTAAAAATATAGCAATCTATATCTAATCTATTAAGTAGCACTAAACCCTCCTACAGAGTAGAAGCCCATGGGTGGTGTCTGTCCCAGAAGCTATAATTTTGTAACAAACCATGCCCTGATGCCAGTTTCTGCGTCTTTTGATAGAGAAATGTTCATCCTTTCATTTTTCATGAAGTAAATCTTGATTTTCAACGGAGAAATCTAACCCAGAGGGTGGGCTTCTATTCTGCGTAGAGGTTTACCTAACAGCACAAAGTTATATAAATTAATTATTAAAGTAATAGAAAAAAAGCTTGAGGGACGGAGTGCGAGGATGTGGGTAGGGGTATTCTTACCTCTCTTCACGCTCACATCCCACCCAAGATATTTTTTAAACTAACTTTTTTCTGATCACTTATCGTCATTCCCAGCTGATATATACTCTTTCAATCGATTGATAGGTACTTATCAATTATAAATTACGTTCAAATTAATTAGACAAGTCGATATATTCATTGATAGTCATTTGTTAAAAGTGATAATATATTGAATAAAAAGACAGAACATTTTTTAATTCAGATATTTAATTGATTTAGAAGATGTTGAATTACAAAATTGGATTGAACAATTTTTGTAAAGGTATCCCTTCGCTAGAATAGATACGACTGTATTAAGGTAGGCAATATTGATATAATTTAGATATGTATTGTTATATTTTATATATTACATTAAATGCATGCCATTTACATCGAGTATATACATTGAATAAGAAAATTTTATCACAGAGACAACAAAAACAAAGACTAAATCTACAATAACATAAATTGTCTCGAAATATTTTCTTTACTTTTATTCACTGTTTTCTTGTGATGATTGAATATTTCTTTTCTTCGTTTTCGTGCATATGATAGTTTACGATTATGTTGACTTCTAAATAAATATTTGTTTCAGTTAAATTGAAAAAAGCAAAAAAAGACAAGTCAGCTTTTTTACCGAAATAGAGTGCTACTTAATGTAAGACATATGATGGGATTTGAGCAGCTATTTAAATTGAATAGAAGACTAAAGATAGTCATAAGCCAATTCATGGTTTTTTGCGATAAAAATTTTCCATTCAAAGCCATAATTATTGACCCAATATAGAATGGTGTTGAGCAAAGTATATAAGCAACAACGACGATAAATGTTAATTTGATTGTTTTAAGACGTGCACGAGATAGAAAACGACTGGCACCATAGCGTTGTTTTAGGTTTTGTCCATCTAAACTATTTGAACTTGGTCGTTTTGATAATGTCGATGATTGACGTCTTAAACGAAACACAACGGGATACATTATTGGTGAAGATTTATTGATATATGTGACGGTTGCTATATTTGAGCATTTAACACATGGATAACGAACGTGTACATGATTCTCAGGAGCATTTCTTGTTCTTCGATCTATTGTAGATGTTGGCGATGCTGATGCATTCGTTGAATTTTTCTTAATACCAATTGACGGTAAATTAATCATACTTGTTGTGGTGATATTATTAGGTGATGGACACATTGAAAAGTTTCGGTTTACAATAAAATAAATTGAACCATAGCAATATATTAGTGCAGATACAGGTAAGATGAATTGAACGAAAATCGTCCATATAATATAAATTAATTCCCATGTACCATTGTGTCCTAAAAATTTGGCCGTACACATTTTTACTGTACGATTTGAATCGTATTCCAAACGGAATATGAATAATTGTGGCGCTGCTAGAAAAATACTTAAACACCAAACAGCTACCATATGAAAAAGACCTGTATGAGGTGTCCACGCATATGTATTTAATGGATGAACAATGGCTTGATAACGATCAATTGTCATTACAACAAGACTAAATTTAAAAGAACAATCATTGAGATCCTTTGTTTGTTTAGAACTAAAGTAATTATTTTTTGTCAATAGATAAAGCTATGAATAGCTCATATTTCATACGTCATCGATCAAACATGACACATGATTATGATTATGAATATTAATTATTTTGTTTCTGCTTCGTTCTGTATCAGAATAGACGAGAATAGATTAGAACTATTTTGATCTTTACTTTGAATATATACCGCTTTTTATTCAATAGTAGATTAGATTTCTGGAAAATATTTAAATTTTAGATCTTTGTTGTACTCCACAGTACAGACAGAAAATTTAGAAACAACATTGTTCTCTTGATTATCTAAGGCAGACCGCTGGTTCAAAGTTTCTAAATAGTGTTTTTCATACAGCTGCCGATGATCTAAAAGATTGAGGTATGGAAGCTTTTCGAACACTCATATTCATACATATATAAAGCAAAAACGTTTTGCCCAGCCGAAAAAAGTTTAGAAACATTTAATAAATTCATTTAACTTTCTGCTTATTTATGATTATTCGGCGTTGGATTACATACCGTTCGATGCAGAAGTTAATGAACTATATTTTGGTAAAAAGCAGTTCTACTCAAAGTATGCATCGTCTTTATCTCGAGCTAATGATTTCGCACTGAATTTTCATGAATTTTCCATTTTTTTTTCTTCCTAAACGTAAAAGCGTTATCAATTGCGAGTAAAATCTTTTTTTTTGTGAAGTTGCAGTATACCATTCGAAAGAACAAATGTCGCTCTACGAGATGCATGATGCTTTGCAAATCCCACCATTAGCTTGACTATTTAATCAATAAAACTAATTAAATACTGTTGCTAATGATAACTGAAAGAACTATGAAGTGTTCATAAAAGTAGTGCAATTGAAACTGATAAATATACTGTCAGGTTCAATTTTCAGTGCTCTTTCACACGGAACAATTAAAAAGTGATAATTAATTGAAAATTGTATTAATTAGCTAACTAGCGATTATTCATAATTATTAGTGCTTATTAATTAATTATTACTAGCGGGTAGAGAGAGATGAGAGCTTTATGTTCGATTTCTTTTTATTTATTTCAGCTCGAAAACACAAATCACACCGCGCTTTAGGCTCGCTACACAAATACGTGCACACATACTACCGATAGAAGAAAAACCATCGATATATATATATATATGGAGCGTTTGGAAAAAATAGAAACTTAACGACAAAATAAAGAATGCCCTGAGATAGTTCAGATCGAAGAAAAGAAAAAAAGAAACATAAAAAGGGTTATCCGCTAACAATTGCTAACCATGTAATAGCGCAATAAAAGAAGAACTGATTTTTACCAAAATATAGTTCATTAACTTCTGCATCGAACGGTATGTAATCCAACGCCGAATAATCATAAATAAGCAGAAAGTTAAATGAATTTATTAAATGTTTCTAAACTTTTTTCGGCTGGGCAAAACGTTTTTGCTTTATATATGAATGAATATGAGTGTTCGAAAAGCTTCCATACCTCAATCTTTTAGATCATCGGCAGTTGTATGAAAAACACTATTTAGAAACTTTGAACCAGCGGTCTGCCTTAGATAATCAAGAGAACAATGTTGTTTCTAAACTTTCTGCCATCACTTTAAATTCTATGCTAATAACTAACAGTCGAAAGAAATGTACTAGAAGTCGTCTCTTTCACCTAATTTATATTAACTATTCTCTTTTGGATATTTAAAGACTTTCGCGAATATTTTAAAATTTCCTCGAATAAAGTCTAATGAAAAACAACTATTTTAAACTTACGTATAAACAGAAATATATGTTGAAGTTAACATAAAGAAAGTAATTAGGCGACATATAATATCACCACCGAAAAATGTCGATGTTGATTTCCATATAAGCATTGGTAAAACACTAAAGAATGCAACTAATAAATCGGCTATTGTAAGGTGAAGTATAAAGAACGCCATTCGTGTAATTCGTTTATGCCTTGCTGTTAACATAACAATTAATACCAATATATTTCCAATTAATGCAGATATGAATATAGTCGCTAAAACTATTTGTTCTACTAATCTTAGTTGCCGATCGAAACGTTCTGGTGCAACAGAACTATTGCTTGTTGTTGAATTCATCATTTAATATAATAGAAAAATGACTGGTGTCAGAATTGAACAATATATCTAAACACTAGATGAATAGCAACGAATGACGTGCATACCAAAAAGAAATCTTTTCTCCTCAAAATGAAGACAAAAAGAAACAATAATACACAATTAAATGGATGATCGAGCATCGATGAGAGAGAGAGAAAAGAGAGAGAGAAGAGAGAGAGAAGAGAGAAGAGAGAAGAGAGAAGAGAGAGAGAGAGAGAAAAGAGAGAGAGAGAGCGAGAAATGTCTTTCGTGGTAGAAANCCCTTCCCAATCATATTTTACGTCTAATCATGCTAGCTAGCTTTCTGAGTATCAGATCTAGCAGAGACACACTACCTATCTTCTATTATATTCATCTTGAAGTACAGATCCCTGCGAGTTTGTCAAATAATAGAATGAAAAATACTAAGAAAATTTCCGTTGTTTTTATAAGCACGCAATGGGATGTTTAATGCTCTTTCGAAGCATAGATTATTATTATTATTATTATTAGCATCATGAACTTGGTGTGCATCAGCAGTTTCCTATAATAAACATGCAGACTTTGACATGAACTTTACCATAAAAGTTTAAGATTAGCGCGTTCCATTAAGAAAAAAAATCTTCTAATCATCTGAAGAGCTTTATCTTATAAACTATCCGTATGAAATCTAATTTGTTAAAAACTAATGAAATTCACTGCAGAATTTTACAAGTTACAAGCAATTCTCTATTATTTATTTACTAATGCATGAATAGGAAAATTATTAACATAAAAAGTTTTTTTTGCTTCCTTCCCTTCGCTATATCAAGGGAAACTAATTAAATCATACGAAAATATTCTCATTGAAATAAAATATTTTATCTAAAGCAGGCTAGTTTTTTTCTCTTGCAGAGAAAAATATAATAGATTACATGTCAAATAGTGAAGCTTGTTCTTTCGATATATCTTATCGTACTTGAATATAAGTTGAGAAACTGAAATATGCTAGAAAGCAATTCTGCTGATATATTGAATAGAAAATGAACTAAATGTCATGATGTTCTAGATTTCAGGCTGAAAAATCTGACTAGATCAAGATTTGGATTATTTCTAAGCTTTTGAAGACGCTAAAAATTTCTTTGTAAATCTTCAATAGTGTTTCTTTTTATAAAGCGAAATTTTCATTTAAAACAATATGAAAATGAACGTGGAACAGTACAAAAAAGGCCACTAACGAAAACCTATTCTCAAGAACATAGTAGAGCACATGATCTGAAGGAGGTATATTAATTAGTAAGAGGATTTTATTCTATATGTCATAACGTTTTGGTATTGAAGCAGCACTCAAATATATAAGCCCTTCATAATTTAGATCTTATTTTTCATTGAAAACAAGCTCCTAAACTCACTCGAAAGCACAAGGCGGATACTCCTTCGAAACAAATTCTCTTCTATTAATTGAAGTTCAACAGAAGTACTCAAAGAATATACCTTATGTATTACAACTAGAGTGCATCATAGTTTTGTGATGCTCATCAAAATGAGTGCCATGCTAAGAAATATGAAAGAACCGTTCTTGATTTATGTAAGTTATATCGAAAACAGACAAAAGAAAACAGATTGGCGATCTAATTGATAAATGTGATGGCAGTTTCCTGTGCAGCTAGTATTCTTTTTTATCTGCGACGAAATATTTCTGTCATATGCATGACAGTTATGGCATGTACTTAAAATAACCAATTCATATAGAATTGTTAAAGATCATTCCTGTTTGCCATTCACTTTTGTTGTTTTGCTATATGTTGTTTTCGTCAATCGATAATGAAATATAACAGTAATATTTATTTTTCTCTCATTTTTCGATAACGGTTGTAACTAATGATTATGACAATTTCATACGTTTTTTCAATTTGATTTCAAATCAATATATATATAGTCAAATAATTCCATCAGAATATAGCATCATAATTACGATTTTATAGTTTAAATCGTTTTGAAGAAAATAAATATTGTACTAGCTGATGATGAAGTCCTCATGTGTTACAACTTTCTGTTTAATAATTATACATGTCCATAAGATTCTATAACGAGATGTTACTATTAGAAAACGACAACCAATACTATTTGTATGATTTCAAATGTATTGTTATGAATGAAAAATACATTTAACAAGAAATAATAAAGAAAAGAATACCGAATATATCTTTTGTTTTTAAATTTAATTATTAAGACGTTTCGTCAACTACTGTTAACTTCGTCAGTCAAGGTATTTTATTATCTTATTGCTTTTCTTATTTTTCTCTCGTCCAAATGAACAATAGTACTCATAATTTGTATATAAAGTTTCGTTTCTTTTTCGTGTAACTTCATTTTACTTTGATTGACGAAGTTAACAGTAGTTGACGAAACGTCTCAATAATTAAATAAAATTTAAAAACAAAAGATATATTCGGCATTCTTTTCTTTTTTATTTCTTGTTAAATGTATTTACCGAATTAAAATAAACAACAATTATTCAGTGAAAAATACAGTAATCTTAGACGGATGTTTAATTGTTTTTGGCGGTAGCTATTTATTATTAGGGCCAATTTTATTTGAGACTATATTGTTTCAGATAAATTATTTCTATTGTAGATTACTTTAGCATCCACTGAAAATTCTACTCTGAATGACGTCATGGGATTTTAGAAAAATTTATTTACATGAATATGAACAACAAAGAAAAAGATAAGGTTTTTTCTGTTTTTGCTGATTAATGCATTTGAATCATACATCGCAGCGGTCGTCAGGATTCCTGCGAAAAATTATTTACAAAGGACGCCCCTCTCGGGATTTATCAGGACACTACGATGGATATCATTTGAATGCAAAGCAAAGATATGTCTTTGACATTTTGTGTGGTTTATCTAATAAAAACTGTTTAGGGGAAATTTTATAGTTAGTTTGATGTTTGAAACTTACAAAAAGTTGTCCTTGCATTAAGAGAATATGCTTATTTTGTTTGCCTCATAGAGTTTATTATTGTAGTGACAATCAACAGCTGATGATACATGTTACAATTTTGATTTTTTTAGAAGTTGTTGTTAGATAGAATAGAAACGAATAGTCTCTAGCTCATCTACAAGGGAGTGCTACTTTAGTTCATTGGAGACCAACCTTATATTGAAGAAAAATTTGAGGGTGTTTTTTAACTGTTGGTGCTTGTTTGCCAAATTCCAACTGCATTCAAGGCGTTTTTTTTAAATAAAGCAATTAGTATATGATTATCATATATTATTTTTTTTTCATTTTTGGTTACGATGCTATTGACACATAACAAAGAGTGCAGCCTTTTCTTTCAGAAAGTCGATAATTGCTCCATAGAAAATAGAAATGACAATACGTCATTTAGATGAAAAGATTATAATAGAAGAGTACTAATGAAAGATTGAATTATCAGTTTCAATACTGCTGATGAACGCGACTGAAAAAGACCGACAAAAACCGATAGATCATCATTTATAATCAAGTAAGCTATATATGATCACTTTTCATGCACGCACATCCTAAAAAAACTGTTTTAAATAGACACTCATTTTCAGTCACCTTTTGTTTCACTATCATGATAAACAACATTCAACATGATAAGAATCCCTGTTATATTTATAGTCAGTTCATCCAAACTCGGAGTCAGTATTACTATAATCTTTTCTGGATTTCGATGCTAGAATGCATTTGTTCGTGATAAGAAAACAGAAAATGTATTTAGTGTGTCACAAAGGAGACGAAACGTTCTTTTCAACATAGAATTATATATTTATCAATTAGCATTTTGTATCAATAATAAGAAAAGTTTGTTTGTTTTCATTATTATTGGATTTTATATAGGTAATCGTTTTCAGCTAAAGCCTAGTAACTATCCTAGTGCAATTACTGAGTTCAAGGCACCCTGGTACCAGTATATCACACGTATATTTCTGGTTGCTCTGATATACTTTGTTAAAAAACTTTTCGTACGGTAAATTTGGAATTGCACAAGTTCTGGAACAAGTAGCTTCAATTAGTCAAGTACTGTGCAGCTTTTTACCAAGATACTCGACCAAGTTCTTGTAACATACTAGTAGGAAGGTAAGTCTTGGTATCCTGCTGGACACTACCCTATTACTCGGGTTCCCTGAACTCAGTATTTTCACTAGGGTAAGATACAGTACAAACAAGAATATAAAACGAATCTCTGCTCATAGAAAAAGAAATTTCAAAATGATTTTATTTGAATTGCTAATTTAATAGGATCCAAGAAAAAGACATTAAGGATTTGCTAATGTAAAAACTTCGATATCATTAAATTCTCTTGAAAATATTCTTAATTCATCGATACTACTATAGAAATATGTTTTCTTAATAGAATTCGCTAAGCAATTTGTTTTATCTGATAACGAATTACCAAGTACGATGGTGCTAGGAAAACTTGATGAAATCAGTGCTCCATTTATTCATAGACGACTATCATTCAGCAGGCAACAACGTGAATGCACAAGGGGAATTATCTGTGCAATTTCTTCTATTGTATTGTGTACCGATGATATTTTGAATGATCAAGAATCACCTAATGTTGATACACGCCACCCATTCCGGTCTACTGTATGCGGCAAAAACAGAACATGAAAAATATTATTAAAGGGAAATATTCGTGTGACAAAGAATGACTTGTTTTATGTCTTCAAAATTTGATGAAGGCTTGTATAGATTCCAAATGTTGCTCACTGGCATAAAAAATAAATGAATAATATCAGTTGCTTGAAAATATTGTCCATTTTCAGTGAATAAAACTGTTTCGTCCTCTCGGTCAGTGTTCATACCACACCAGCTTCAGTCTATTAGAAGCGAACAAAATAGAACATAGATATAGAAACTGTATCTGCAGGAAAAACTCGATTTGATCGAAACTGGGATGTTCGCGATCATAAATTCATCGCATTAAGTTACTAAGTAATATTAGCAGCGATATTATTCAAATTTTGGCCCAGTTTTGATGAGTTATA